TATTGGGTATGTAGCTGCCGTGATCGTTGACACTAATTGCATTGGCTTATTATTTTTTCTTTTAATTTTCTAACTACTCTAAACAATATTCATTGAAAACCGTTTACTCTTTGTTCTATGATGAAGCCTCCAGGCAATGTTGAGTCTCAAGCTCCAATGTTTCCTGCACCTGAGGGTGGAGAATTGTGTAGCAGCCCCAGCAACTCTCTGATGGATGTGTCAGATCAGATGCTTTTGCCTGTTGGTTTTCAAAATTTTGATAACAATCTACAAATTTCTGCCCCGCTGGAAGATATAGCAAACAAAAATCAAGAGGCCACAATGATTTCTACTTCTGGTCAAGTGTCCTCTGTGCTGTCATCTTTTAGTGGAGAATTTGATCATGTTGTAAAGGCTGAAGCACTGATGACATTTGCTCCAGAATATGGAGGCGTGGAAACCTCCAAGAGCGAGATCTCCTTCGTGATTTTCCGAAGTCCGTATATACCAAAATCCTGCAAAGTGGATTCTGCTTCAAGCTCGAACAATTATGTATATTCTGCAACACCACCGTCTTCCCCTTGCTTTGATGGATTTGATGAGAAGTCCATCTTGTCCGCCAGTATGAAAACATGTGCAGAAAAAGACTCGACTTCTGTTTTAAAATCAATGAAATATTACACACATGTTGAAAGAGGAAAACAGCAAATTGGTGGAAGTAGCAACAGATTTTCTAAAGGTGAGCTTGGAGTGGCATCATCACAATTTTCTGTTAGTCAAACAAATGTCAAGGCTGTCTCGACTAAAGCAAGTGAAGGCTCACTGGGAGAAGATAATATTCCATCTTCAAGGACTGTCCTTGCAACAGAGATTGAATGCCTTATGTGCCAGGCTTCCATGTGTAGGCTACGACATACATTGTTGTCTTCTAGCAATCAGTCACCTACTGGAATGAGTGGATTGTCTGAAAGTAGCACTCCAAATCAGGCCAATGTTGATTCAAGTACCATGACGGACAATATTTCAAGCAAATCTGAGTTGAAGAAGAAAGAAATTATTCCGGTTAGGATAGCTGGTGATATTGATGGAGGAATACTAGATGGCCCTTTGACCGCACCTGTTGGTGTCTGGCGATCTGTTGGAATTCCTAAAGTTGCTAAATCAAGCACAAGTATGGAAATCTGCCCATCTATACCACACAATTCATTCATTGAAGAAAGCATGCTTTCCTATGGACTACGACAACCACTTCAGGAACTTCTTGACGGCATCGCGTTACTTGTCCAGCAAGCTACTTCATTTGTTGATGTGGCTCTGGATGCTGATTGTGGTGATGGCCCTTATGGTTGGCTCGCACTTCAAGAGCAGTGGAGACGCGGATTTTCCTGTGGACCTTCTATGGTACATGCTGGTTGTGGGGGACTTTTGGCTTCTTCTCATTCCCTCGATATTGCTGGCATGGAGCTTGTTGATCCACTCTCAGTTGAAGTGAGATTCCTTTATAATAGAGTTTATTTTGCTTCCTAGCTGTTTTTCGTTGAATAAAAGAGACTGAATTTTCTTTTCTGCTTGCCCCTTTTCCTGTACTATTCTCTTTTCTGAATCCCCTCTTAATTACTTTGTTTATTTCTTACTCTGTGTGTGTGTGTGTGTGTGTGTGTGTGTGTGTGTGTGTGTGTTTACATATTTATTGTTGGGTGCATGGAGTTCTGAACAAATTTTGAATCCCCCAGATGTTCCCGTCAACTTCATCAACTATTCTCATTATTTACCAGAATTCTGCTTTTCATTGTGTTGCTAAGTAAATATTCTTCGTCATGGGGAAATATTAGGTTGCTGATGAGGGCAACCAATCTTTTATATGATTTTGGTTGAGGCATAATGTATAAAATGGATGGAGATGATCTTGACATCTCGTCTACTTCAGTAGTACTAACACATTAAATTTTCAGCTGATGAGACTTCTGTTTTGGTGGAGATGGGATATATCTGTTTTCTACTTATGTTTTGAGTACATTTGGATTTGTTAGCTTGTTATGGCTGAGTGTAAAGATGTGCATTTGTCATAGAATTATTTTTGTTTTCTTGGTGCAAGAATTAAAGTTTGGCATGATGACTAATATAGTACAACTTCTGTATATGTGCTATGTTAGTTGCTATGGCAGTTTCTAAGACTATAAATGATTCTTACGAATATATATTATCATTTTCAGGTTCAGGCATCATTAACTATTAGTTTACTCCAGTCAGACATAAAAGCAGCCCTAAAATCTGCATTTAGCACTGTAGATGGTCCTCTATCCGTTACCGATTGGTGTAGGGGCCGTAGCCCATCCAGTGAATCAGGTTGTCATGGACTTTCTGCAGAGTCTATTGCTAGTGCAAATGAATGTCGCGAAACTTCGAGCACTGTAACTCTATCAGTTGGAGACCCTATGAGCCCATCTCTGACTTCTGTTGGTGGATCGTCTAGCCTCAAAGGTACGATCATGCTTATAGCTCCAATGCTTTATTGACTTAATATTACCTGTTGGGTAATAATGCAATTTTCATTACAGCTGATGGGATCAGAGGGGACGAGGCAGGTGCTTCTTTATCAGAGTTGGATCATCAACAATTCTTACGGATTCTGCCTACGCTCTCTGTTGTTCCGTTTCCTTCCATAC